CAGCCATGACTGCCAGAAGAATGAACAAATCTGTTTCGGAAGAAGTGCAGACAAAATGCTCCTTAGAAGCAAAGATGGGGAGATTTCTTCTCACATCCTTTGGACATGTTATCAGGAGGGACCAGTCCCTGAAGAAGGACATCATGCTTAGTAGAGGGTCAGCAAAATAGAGGAAGACCCTCATCAAGATGGATTGACACAGTGGCTGCAACAATGGGCTCAAACATAGCAATGATTGTGAGGATGGCACAGGTCAGGCAGTGTTTCTTTCTGTTGTACATAGGGTAGCTATCAGTTAGAACTGACTCGACAGCCCCTAACAAGGTTATGCCATGTTTCTTCTGAAAGTAAGAAAGGGGAAAGGGGAAAAGAATGAAGGGACAGATATTTTCCTTCTTAGCTTTCTTTTAGAGGTGGGTGGTCTTGACCAATCACATTGACTACAGCTTACTGAAAGAGCCTGAGAAACTGGGGTTCTAGAGTTGCTATCACCATGGGATCCAAAGAAGTCAATTTTTCCTTACATCCTCAGTTTCTCTACAACTAAAATGAGGAGGTTACAAAAGTAAATGCTTATCAGGAGGGCCAGTAAAATAACCTAAATGTATAAATTCAGCAGAGTGTACAACCTCAGGGAGTGGTATGTGACAGAGACAGAATGTCTCCCTAAAGTATAATAATAGAGCTCTGGTAGCACAGTGCCTAAGGCATTTGAATATTAGCCAAACACAGCCAGTCTGCAGGCAGGACTCTGTCTACAATTCCATGCTGGGAAAGGCCTGCATAGTCTTTCTGTTTCAAACAGTTCAACTCCAAAGTATTCCACTTTATGATACCTTAATTTTCTCTTTTTTAAAATGATAGAACATTAGAATTTCAACTATAAAGGATTTCAAATTCCTAGAGTAATGTGTTAATCAAGTATTTTTAGAGAAGTCACATCTTCTAGCATCCCACCATAGGTCTGCTATTTGAATGCAGTAACTGATAAAACCAAAAAACTCACTGCCACTGAGTCAATTCTAACTCATAGTGACCCCCATTGGGTTCCTGAGGTGGCAAATCTTTAGGGAAGTTGATTGTCCCTTCTTCCCTCTGTGGAGTGGCTGGTGGGCTCGAACCACCTACCTCCTGGTTAGCAGTCAAAGGCCTTAGGCAGTAACTGATAGGACAGCAATATAAGCACTTAGATTATCTCCCAAGAATAACCAATTCCTTATGTTAGTTTATGAAAAAATTATGAACCTCTTCTAGGTTGAAATTCATTAACACAGAGCCCTGGGACAGAATAAGGAATCATTCAGGTATTGGAAAGTTCCTGATCTCAAATTAGAATTTATGGAAATGAGCTGAAGGTTGGGTGGAGATCCTGGTCCCTGAAGCCATGTGTACCTCACAATGAAGCCATGACATCCTAAAGATACTAGGGAGGCCTCCCTTGTCACAGAAAACCTGCAACAAAAGGACAGAGCCACAAGTCACCCCTGTGTCTTAAAGAGGAAAGAGGATGATAACACAACGGGAAGTGGGCAATGTGGTTAGGAGCTCAGAGAGTTCTTGTGCTCCATCATGCAGCTCTGAAGTTTTCAAGATAAAAAAGACTGGGCTCATTTAACATCTGCCTTCATTTTCCTCTTATAACCCTTTAACAGAGTTTATAGAACTGTAGTTTTCCATCTTGTATTTAATAATAGCACAGACAATAGTTAGACATGGTGCTTAGCAATTCTATGAGAAAGGAACCCATAGATGGACATGATAGAAAGTCATGTCAGACTTTCTCCAATGTCCACTATACTATACGGTTTATTTCAGGGTTGAGGTCTTTGGCTTTCATTAAGCAGAGGCATCTTCTCATGCAAAGCCAGAATATGCTCTTTCCACCTTAGGAGGTAAAATGGTCATCTGACTGGATTAACAATTTGGTAGCAAAACTAACCAAAACATGCTTCCCAAAGTGGGAGAGTGCTGTTACAGTTGAGGGGTTGCAACTGTCACAAAACAAACAAAAATGTATAAATTTTTTAATGCAAAATGAATTTGCTTTGTAAACTTTCACCTAAACCACAAAAACAAACAAACATACAAGGAGCATTTTGAGAAACACCTTTTGTCTACTGTCTTCCTGATAAACATGGTATAACTGAGCAGGTTAAGAACTTAGATGCCTTGTTATTTATTATAGAAACTCTTAGCCAGTAACACAGTTAACATTGTACCATAAAGTGAGTTCAGGGCAGGCATCCTAGACATGGAATCAGAGGTCTTGACAATAGGCAGACTTTTAAAGATATTTAAAATTAAAAATGATTTAGTGATTATTTAAAAAAGAATAAAATTAACAGAACTGAATATTAAAAATATACCAAAATTTTCAACGAATATATTCAATATAAAAAATAACAGGGACATGTGAATGTTTTAGTGAAAATATGGGAAACAGGAATTAAAGAGTTAACTTGCATTCCCAGTTCATTCCAACTTCAAACTATGAGTTAACTCATTTAATAAAACTCCACTCTACTATATCATGGGTGTTAAGAAGCACGTGTGTGTGCGTATACACACACATTCATATAGTTACATCTCTTCAAATGTTAAGAATTACACATTTACAAAACTCTTTTATTGCTTATGTATACCAATACCAAGATCTGACAGCATGGCTTTAAAAAGTGTTAAGTTTAATGTAAGTTTTTATACCAGAAGGAATGCTGAGCACAGCTAAAGTCAAACTGACTTTATGTCATAAACTTTGAGTTTTATGGGTGTAGGGAAAAAAAAAGTGCACAGGTAACTTTCAATATTATATTCACCCAAAATCAGGAAAATATTTAAATATTTTGGATGTCCTATCTGAAAGGTATTTAATATTTTTCTCCATCACTCAGTGAGAAAACATATATATGGATAGTTGTGATGCATATACTATCTTGTCCACTGTAAAATCTGAGCCCATTATTTTCAGGACAGAACAACATGGTAGTCTAAATATGTTTCCTGGCTGTGAGATAATAATTATTTTGGCAAGATATCATCTATGACATGGCACCTATCTGACTGAAGCAAATTGACTAGTCTAGTTCATCTCAGTAGATGATAAACTCTGCCAGGGAAAAGTGTATTCATATCTTTACTTCTTATTCATATCTGTATTTCTTATTCATATCTTTACTTTTGCTCTCAAAAGGAGCACATGTGCCAGCTTCCAAGTTTCAAAGTCTTAGATTGGGAGGAATTTCAGAAATCAGCCCTTTGTTTTACGGGTGAGGAGGTTATTTGTCCAGTGACTTCCCTAGGAGCTAGGAGTGGAAGTCAGAGCTGTTCTGTGTCAACATACATTATGAATCTCATACTGGTTAGGGTGAGAAAGCCCTGTCCAAAGACAGTGCTCACTGTTTCTGCTTCTTACTGTTCCTGCTTTAGAATCCCCAGGCTTCCTGGATTCTGAACTGTTTTCTTTGATCTGCAAGACTGACTCTATCCCAAGGGCTGTACCTGACTCCCTGACCTCGATCTATTTCTTGCTTACAATTTTGCTACCTGTCAAACGGGCCCTACTGAATTTCTGAACTACCTTCTGCTCAACCTCAGATGACAGCTAGATCATTCGATCTTGTCCGGAATCCAGAGAGCCAGGTCTGTCCCCTTTCTATCCACCTTTCCCTGGCTGCTCCTCACCCTGCAGTGGGAAGAAGTTATTCATTTCAAAAGCAAGCAAAGTTACAATTTACCTGTCAGTAAACAGAAGATGGTTTATCAACAGACTTTACCTTAATGACTACAAATGTTTACCTCCTGCTTTCCAGAATGCAAAGAAAATCTTGGAAATGTCATAATATCTTACAAACATTTGCAAAACAGATCCTTGTTCATCCGGAAAAGAAACAATTGTATTCACTGTCTCTGACACAAGGAAGTGTTAAGTGAGAAACAGACAGATAGATGTACACACTTACACGTAAATGAGATATGCTAATTAAAAATTGCACTGGGTACTTTATTAAAAATTTATTTTACAATCTAACTGTTCAAAACATCTTTACATCAACAAATATAGCAGCTTGACTATTGGAATCACAAGTGATTTATCTTGAAAAGATTGTATTTGTAACTAGATGCAAATATTTTTGAGAAGTATTTATATCGAAATAACTACTTTTGTTAGAAGCATTTTGATTTCTCTAGTTTAGCTCTGAAAAAACATTAAAACAAGTATCTCAGTGTTCATTTTATGAGAGAGATGTTTGTCCGAATTACAGCTGTTTATCTTGCAACTTTCTTTAAGATTAATTAAATGCAAATGTAACACTGCGAATCATGGGAATACCTGCCAGACCCCTTATTAATACCTTCACTTAAAAACCCTTGTGCTGGAGAGTCATTAATTTGCTAAAAGGAAAGTGCTAAAGCAGCCCTTTTCCCACAAACAATTCTGAGATGGCTGCCCAATTAGTCCAGTAGCATTCTGATCCTCCTTTCAGACCCTGTGGCCCTTTGAGGACACAAGAAGACTCTGATGATAACCTGGCAACCCAGGTAGAAACCCAGCCAAGTGCGAGCATTTGAAGCTGCAGTTTGGCTGCCATCGTGTCGGCGAAGAGAAAGAATTCAGGCACCATGTCATCCAGTACAAAGGATAAAAACAGATTCAACCGGAAATTCAATGTGGCACCACATATGGGATACATGAGTGCGGTTATACAACAGGCCACATATTTTTTTTGAACAGTCTCCTACATGTGATGCCGAGGACATGTGTAACCATCATAACGTCTCTAGGAATCTGTATTTAATTTGAGTTGGGGTGGTGGCAGGGATTGGAGATCTGAAGCCGCCACAGGTTTGTGGCAGATGGCTCTGTGTCAGCTATGACAAGCAGCCAGGCTCAGCTTCCTCTGCAGATTTTCTTTTCTCTCTGATCAGGTAAATATGGGCACACTCTGGAAAGTTCTACAGATTCTGCCTTAGGCTGCAAGTTTGTGACTTAGCCCCATCTGTCACAAATCTTCCCTAGGTTCTGTTGTAAGCAGAGACCTGAATTTACCATGTAGGGCTGCCCAAGAAAAAGGAGCCATTTCACCCTGTAAGTGGGAGGGAGAGAAGAGAAAGAAATGAAGAAGCATTAACGACTGAGAAACAAAAAGTATGCTGAAAATTCATATTGCAAATTTTAATAACTTAGGTCAATTATATTTCAAAAAGCCACCAAGGAAATGCTTCTCAAATTTCATCATCTCAGGAAATCCTAGTACCTGATTGGTTTAACTGTATTTCCAACCATAGGGGAAAGCTACCATTTTTGCAAATGGGTACATTCTGCTGAACATGTATTTCCTGGTTTATGTTATGGATGACAGCTATTAGACGTTTATCATCCAACTTGAACTTTTATAAACACAAGACACACAACATCTTAATACATTTTTTGCTAATGTGGATCTTACTTTTAAGTGGCGGAGGCACAAAATAAATACTATTACTATTAGGTGGAATTTATAAAGCGCTTAAAGTTTACAAACTGGTTTTATATTCATTATTTCATTATGGCACAACTCAGGGGGGAAAATGCTATTAAGATCTTTAAAAAAAAAAAATTCCTCCAGTTTTACAGATGAATCATATAGAGGCCAAAGAAAAAGAAAGAAAAGAAATCACCTAAAACCAGACTGCAAATGAGTAGCAGAGAAGGACAAAAGGCCAAAACCTCTAACTGAACTTAATCACCCAGAATGTATCTATGGTGCTGAAGGTTTTTTGCTTATATTTCATTTAGAAAAACCCAAGGAAAACCAAATCACATAAAACCAAGAGAGGGAAGGATGAAGAAAGGGAAGAAAAGAGAACAAAAAGAGAAGGAGGGAAGGGTGGAAGAGGAATTAAGAGAGACTTAGTGTTAAATTGTGCTAATTCAGGTTCTAGTAGTTCTTGAAATGTCACATGCTTTTTAAGTTTTCATTTTTAAGAAAAAAGTAGTAACTCTGGAGGAGAGTTAGTTTTAGTAAGCAACACCTTATTCTCATCTAGAGCACAAGCTCGAATTAAAGGGGGACTCTAAATTGACCAGTCTCTTGAAGGAAACTTAAAGTGGCTTGGCTGTGGCTCAGGTAGATATAGCCTGACATAATTAAGACAACCACAAATGGCTTTTCTGGGCATTGAGTATGAACTGTAAGCTTAATCACTGTTTGGAATCAGTTTTGGGCAGAAATCTAAAAATTCTTCTCTTCTCCAAATAACAGCAGGTTATAAAGATTTCTTGAATGCTGAAAAACTTGAAGAGGAGATCAAAATAACAATCAGCAGCTATCTTCTGAGTAACTACAGGGCATTCTTGAAAAGTAAAAGAAAGAATGACAACTTCCTCCACCCCCCCCCCCATTTGTTCATAAAAGTAAATTAGAAACTGGACAGGAATGAGAATCCTTTCCATTAGTTTGGGTGTGTCTACCTTATCCAGTTGCCTCATTTGTATTCTTGTGCTATTTTCAATACTGGTAACAAGGGCATGTCTGTAACATTTTTTTTTTTTTTTCTAAAGCATTTTAAAATATAATGATCAAAGGCTCTCTAAAAACATGAAGTAGTGATTTCAAATAATTATTGAGAGCGTTAGTAAGTAAAATCACATAGTAAAATCACATAGCAAAGAAAATACAACTTCACAGAGTTTGACTTTGTTCAGGTTGGAAAGAACTATTGTTAATGTAGGAAGTCAATACCTGACTGGTTATTTGATGAGTACATCTAGAAACTTGTGTTCAAATTAGGCTTGGAAGTCATGTAAAAAATCAAAGCAAACCCGTTGCCGTTGAGTCAATTCCGACTCATAGCAACTATATAGGGCAAAGTAGAATTGCCCCACAGGGTTTCCAAGAATGCAGTCTTTACGGAAGCAGATAGCCACATCTTTCTCCTGTGGAGTGGTCGGGGAGTTTGAACCACCAACTTTTTGGTTGGCAGCTGAGTGCTTTAACCACTGTGCCACCAGAGCTCCTCTGGAGTCATAGACATGCATCCTATTGAGGATGAAGTGAAGCCCTACTTTCCAAAAAAACCCAAACTCATTGCTGTCAAGTCAGAACCGATTCAAAGCAACCCCTCCTTGGGTTTCCGAGGCAGTATCACTGTGGAAGTAGATTGCCCCATCTTCCTTCCAAGGAAGCCAGTGTACCTCCCTTACTAAGAAAAGGGTTATGTTCTGAAAGTACAAGAAAGTGAGTTTAGACACAAACTTATTAAGAAGGGGCTCACTAACTTTGGTATTTGCATGCACTGAATTTCTCTAAAGATCTAAGAAAAACGTGTGTGGGTCGGTGTGTGTAAGAGGAGAGGGGATGATATGCCCACGTGCAAGTGCACAAAGAATTTAAACATTTCAGGTGGGAAGTCATGACACTGTTCTGTAGAAAGAACCACTTAAAGAAAAAAAGTATCAAATTCTGTTTCTGCTTTTTAGTTACTAGCATTCCGTTTCAAATCCTGCTTCAAGTTATAGCCCCAAAACTCTCACTCATAATGAAAGTATAATGTCTCATGTGAGAAGAAAGCCAAGTGTTAGTAGCCTTATTCCAGTCATTACATTTCTAAGTGTGAATCTATATGAAAAATCCTATCCTAAAGTGAACTCTGTATGATAAGAAGTTGAGATGATTTTAAAATATAAACTTTTTACACACACACACACACACACACACACAAATAAGGTATAAAAATGTAAAAGGAGCAAATTAAAGATTTCAGTAACATTCTATCCTTTTAGATCTTGGAAGCATATGTTTCATAAAACCAAAACAGCACTGTCCAAAGGAATGTATCTGAAAAAGAAAAAAACATTCTCCTTACAGTATAAAAAGGATCCTCTTCTACTGCATAAAAAAAGGAGATATAAAGCTGCTTTGGAGTTAACAATTCTCTGGTATTTAGGAAATGCAAACATTATCGGAAAGTGTATATATTTATAACACACAAAGTAATATCATAATTTACTATATCTTAATTGTGAAGTTTTAGAAGACATTCTTTCTGTGTTGGCTTTAAATTCTATTACAATAACCAAACTAAAAACCGTGGTTGTTCCTGTGGATATAACATGAAGCCTTGTAATATGCCAGTTATTCCTGATAATTTTATCATAAAGGCATTGATTACTTATAATTCTTGGATGAATTAATATATTTTTGAGATCACTATTTACATACAATACCACTAAGAACTATAAATGATGGCATATAGGAAAATAGATTAACAAGGAAAAAATTCTAGGTAAAAAATCCTTTTGAATAAATTATAAATTTTCATAAATGCTTATACATGAATTACTGATTTATAAAACTTTAAGATGGACCATTTTATGATGGGCACGCTCAAAATATATGTAAATATACATATAAGTAGTTATAACTCAAAGAGATAGCTTTTAAGGTAAAAATTCTCTTTTAAGTTCTATAAAGAAATTAGTTTTTTAACAGAATATCACTAAGCTGACATTCATTTTATAATTATGGCAGCAGCTGCATTAAAATATTTAAACTAGAGATCTGTTTTTCTTTTCTAACTAAAGGCAACCTGTTGCAGTAACTTCTAAAAATGGTTAAAAATGTGCAGATGCAGAATAACAGGGTTAATAAGGCCTAACCAGAAGTAAAGTTAAAAACTGATATATTTTAATGGTGCAATACATTTATAACTACTTTATCAACAATTCACCTTAAAGTAAAAAAAAAAAAAAAAAAGGTTAACTCTTCAAAAATAGTTTTGTGTCATATATACAAAATGAATCTATTTGTATTAATAATTATTGGTCTGTTTCCTCAGTTTTCATATTCTGCATATTTTGGTGGTCTACCATGTGAGCAACCATTGGATTAATATTTTACATAGACAAAACTGCTACTGAACTTTAAAAATGAAAATGAAAAAATATTGAAGTAAACCTTGGAGGACTGTTTTCCCTGTGAAGCTTCCCATGTATATGATACAATAGTATTGACTCAAGGAGTAATACTGAAGCCTGGAACTGTTCAGTCAGCATTTTAAACTATTATGAGCTACCTTCTGAACCATTGCCAAGTTAATAGACAATGAAAGATAATGAGCTTGAAATTGGGTGTTAAATTGCATTTTTGGTTCTCTCTCTTTTTCTTGAAGTTTAACTGTTTCCTGCAAAAACAAAGTCATGTTTTGATGTATCACTATGTAAATATGTATTTTAGGCCATGAAAACGGGAAGGAGAGAAAAAAGGCAGACAACTGTATTTCACTTGGGAGGGTTATACATTAACATAGGAAAATTAAAATATGCCAGATTATAAAACTGATAGATTGTAAACTATCCTGAATTTATGTAAAATGAAGAAGCTACATTCAAAGAATATAAAAAGGTATATTACTCATGGCCTAGAGCCACCTCCAACATTTGTAAAGCAGATTTATCCGAGTTCAATTACTTAGACTAGGCCTCTTTGTGTTATTATTTCAACAATGTAAAATTCTTGATTCAAACAATGGGAGGAAAGATAATGAATGAGGGACTGAATGATGATGCCACTTACACTTTTTTCCTTTTGCCTTCACCATTCAGAGACAAGACTGACAGTCCAATTCTAAATAAACCGATGATTTTCATATTATCAAACTGGAAAATGAAAATATTCGGTTCTCGAAAATTATCTCTCAAGTTGTTCAAAAATGAACACTAAACTTCAGTTATGTTATTCACCTGAATTTTTGAGGACTGGAGATTTCATTATGATGGGAAGAATGGCTTATGCTCATTAGTATAATTGTGGAATCTTTCCTTTACTTCCTTTTAAACTAATGAGTTATATTAATCCAGGTTCATTTTTATAAGCCTCTGGGGGCTAAATGTAAAGGACAGTCATCTTAGAAAACAATAAATTAAAAAAAAAAGCATGTACCGTGCATTAAGTGCACGTATTTCATAAGACCTAGGTTAATACAACTGGCATCCAGTTTAATTAATCCTTGTTAGTGTAACAACTAATATCCCTCCCTAGCATGTTTCCTTTAAACATTAGTCTGTTAATTAAATGTTTTTTTTTTTTTTAAGATTTTTCTTTGTACTTCAATATGGCATTTATAACATGTAAATCTCTTCTCAATAACTACCTTGTAGAGATGTTTTCTTATAATATCTGGTCTCTTGCAGAAATTCTGAAGCCTTTTTGAAAGCTGTTCAGGTGTAGAATACAGATATTCAGCTGCAGGAAAAACAGATACATTTTTAATGAAACAAAAACCTCAAAGCACACACTTGATATTAGTCACTTTACTAATTAAAAATGCATATTGCTCTGTGCCGCCTTGTGTTTTACATTATTTAAGCATGATTTTATAAGGTTACCTCAGCTCACAAGGATGTTTAATGCTAAATAAGACTGTGTAGTTGTGATGTTTAGACATCTCCTTTGGGTGATTAAAATACATTATTCTAATGTAACACAATGCATATGTGATATATTTAGTGATGAGAATTTTTTCAAAGAACTGGTACTGTAGCCGTACGTACCCCGTACAACAGTTGCATATTATTAACTAGTCAATTGTTTAAATAATTTGGTGTGACTTTCGGTCCTCAATTTTTCTGTGTATATCATTAAAAAAAAAATCTGTAAGCAGCAATTCCGACCTGCTTATAAAAATCCATCATTATGGGATGTGTACGCTAACAATGAAGAATGCTATTTGAAAACTTGCTTTTTTGTTATCTTAAAAGAACAGATGGTAAATATAAGCTTACTCTAATGTATTAAAACACATAAAATTTTCCTTAACACTAACATGTTGACTTGCCAAATAAACAATTGCTCCTGCCTAAGTTTATTTTCAAACTTTCTCATTTAGCATGAATCATGTATTAAACTTCAAGAAAGGCGAAAGTACATTAAAGCAGCTACCTGGAAATATTTCGGGATAAACCAAATCCTTGGGACAAAGTGGGTAACAACCACAATACACAGCTTCCAACCTAAAGACATTTTAGAAAGAGGACAAGCATACATTAAAAAGACATTACTATCATAGCTAGAAAGTGATTTTGTTTGCCTAAGTTAACAGTGTGAGTTCAGAATGAACTGGAATGAAAAGCAGGGTCGGCAGTACAATTCTAAAAGCCAAAGTTGCTCTTTTAAAATATTTTATTGATCATATATGAATTTCATAGAACAGAACCAACAGCATATGTTTTGTTCAGTGAATTAATCAAAGCACAGCTCTGCATTTTTTTTTTTTTTTTGTTTTTAAAATACTGTTTAACACATTTTATAATCAGCAGATAAACACATGTAACAACATGGTAAAGTATGGACAGCTTTTCTTAATAATGCTGCAAAGCCCCAGAATGTTCATTTTTCAAAAATGTTTAAATAAAATAGCAAATACTTAACTTTAACATTATAGCCGTGGAAATGATGGAGACACTCTTTAAAGCATCAGAAAAAATAATCTACAATCTGTTGTGATGGGGCACTTTCATTTAAGCTCATACTTCAAAACAATTTGTTATTATGCAGAAAGTAAAACTATCCCCGCCCCCGCCCCCTTCCTTGAAGGGAAAACTCTCATGAAGATTGCTTTAATGAACATATTGCTCTCTTGCCTGAAAATTTAGATCATTTTCCATTTTATCAGAAAAGAATACCTTTATGATTAAGCAAACACAAAAAGAAAGTTTCACTTTGTGAGAGGGTTTCCCCAAAGACAACCTAAAGGAAGTTTTCTTCATGTAATGGTAGTAAGGGTTAAGTAGAGGGAAGGTATTGCATCTCAGTGGTTGTTCTTCTTCTTGCATAATAGCTATTGATCTGACATATAATAAACTTTAAAGATAACTACTATAATTTCTTTTGGCTAGAAATTATGCAGTAAAATTCAAAACGCTCTTGAAAATATGTTTATTTTATGAGAAACTTTGAATTGCATCCAAAACACTGACCAAAGACAGAATTTTATTTTGAACTGCAGATTTTTTTCAACCTAAGAATAATTTGAAGTCATGTCAATGTTTACTTTGTTTATTTACAGTGACAAAGTACAAGCAATTTAAGTTGTTTTTAAGTGGGTGATGCTTTGCCTATTTTATTATGTTAACTGAAAATAGTTTGAATGAAGTCTTTACTTTGATGCTACAAAGTTTGGAAAAATACTGAGCTCCAAGTTCTGCTTTAAAACTCATAGAAGCTGCAAGATAACACAGTGGAAAAGCACAGAATCTAGTTGCCAATTACTAATTTCAGAAATCACACTAATACCTAGTATTTTTTTCTCTCCATGCACAGGGGATGCAGAAATTCTTACACCGCTATAAAATACATTGTGACTGCAATATAAAGCATCAACAAAAGTTTTGAGCATATAAACCAGGAAAATTCTTTATGAACCAAAGGAAATATGAACTTTATTTGAAGACTCTCAGTTTTAAAATGCTGTGCCAATTGAAAAGCAAATACATATGAACATTCTTTTGTAATTATGTAAAATCAAAAGAGCAAAGTCCCAGGCATTTCAGAAAGTGCACATGTTATCTGCTTTTTAATAATGGATTTGTATTAGAGTATTCTGTTCCCTGAAAGAAAACTGCAGGCCAAGTTACATTTTGAGTCATCGTATGAACATATACCATGCCATTTCCAAAAAAAAAACCAAAAAAACAAAAAACCTCTGCTAACTAAAATTCCCTAAGATAGGAATGACACTATTTGAGTTTTGATTAAAAAAATGAAAAATTCTGCATTTTAACTTTTATTTGTAAGTTATCTTATTCATGGTTATATTTCTACTTCATCAGGTTAAAAAGACAAACTAAAGTAAAAGAAAACCCACTACCGTTATTATTTTTGCCTTGTTAAAATACTAAACCTTACTATACCCACTTTTTAGATCATGACTATGTTTTAAAATATATTAAACAGGCCAATATATATTAAGAAAAATTTATGAAATTCATCCTCATAAGTTTCTCATATTTTGAAGAAATAGGTCATTTCATGACAATAATACAATTATTCATCATTTCAATTCTTATGCACTACCAGTTAAATAATAAATAGGGTTCCAATTGATCTATTGTTAAAATGACTAGTAAATGACCTTTTTATTCCAATTAACAAAT